GAAGTAACAAGTAACTATAACTAATTACTTTTTCAAAGTAACGTGCCCAACACTGGTCTTTATTAAATACATGAAGGTAAATACCTATTATAAGAAAAGCAAACAAAACTGTGGTAACTGCATTTCATAAAACACCATAGATCTTAGTACTTGCTTGGCCTATTTGCTTTCAACTTAAATTAGAAAAAAAAAACACAAGTCTATGTATGAGTGTTATAGTGATATTGTAGGAGGAGCTTAGTATCATAATATACTACACTTTACTGTAGTAGAATGATAGTCAGTAAAGGCAAATCCTTATAAAAAGCCCAAACTTTCAGATTTATATTCAAATATTATCCAGGTCTGAGTTCCGAAAAGCTATTTTTCAAAAAGAACCCTAAACTGACCCCCCGTGAACCTGAACTACACTAATTAAACTAACTAAATCAGAGGTGCGCATTTATGTATGGTTTTGTATGCATGCTTTCCCATCCACAGAGGCCATGCAGATCTCTACCTAAAAGGAAAAGGAAATTTGCTGGGTAGAAAAGAGTTAGTCAGGTTCTTTTCCCCTTTGGAAGTCTTACTTACAGTAAAGTGTTTGTAATTTTTTATTTTTTTGTTGTTGTTGTTGTTTTAGAAGAAATTACAGTGATTTGTATCTATGAAAGTTTGAGCTTTCTATTAAACCATAGTGTCACATGAAGTGTCACAAAAAAAAAAAAAAAAAAACTTTTAGGTTGAAAATTAAAGTTTCTTCCTGTTCTACATCTGAAAGCTATAGTAACTCTAACAAATGCACCTTGTATTAAATATATAAATTAGATTCAAATGTGGTTTTGATACCATGCCTGCTATCTTTGTTCTGTTTGCATTATAAAATTACACTAATTTAAACTTGGCTGTGACTCAACTAGATATGTTAACACTGGTTTATGATCAGGTGGTATAGGAGGAAGGTTTATGATGACATTTATAAAAATGTAACTCAACAATTGGAAGGACCTTATCTCTTGAAATCCCAATAAATGGATGCTGTAGTTGGGATTTAGTATTTAGTAAGAAATAAAACAAATATCATTTTAATATGCATACTATATATAAAGCATCCCCTTTCCCAAAACAACTTTAAATATCAGACCTTCACTGAATCTAATGGCTATACTTTTATTCCAAAGGACTACTTTGGGGTCTATTAAAAAATAAAAATGCTTACATATTACAAAGAACTTCTGAATCCCTGACCCTAGGGAATCTGTAATGGTTTTCTTTAATTATAGACCAGCGGTTTAACATAAAGTTTGTGGGGATTAAAAGGCTTGTCTTGATGCACCACATAGATTCTCACTCATACTTAAGTGTGGGAGGGATGGATCAATGGATCAACACCTCAGTCACATACAGGTCTGCTTGTATGACTCTGCAGGTTTCCCGGAAAGTGACTAGTGTCTGAAATTAATTTTATTTACTTTACTTGGCAAGAATGTATCATCATTATTCTTTAGACCAAAGTATTTATTCTTCCTAGTTCATTGGAGTACTCTACTATCTATATATGTCTTAGTCAGTAAAAAACATTACCAATGAACAAAACACATTTTTATATTATTTCCTATATTGAAAGAAAAAGCCTAATTCATCTCTGGTACATCTCAATGAATTAGGATATAACTGATTATCAATATACTAAAGTATTTAGATCCACAAAACTTCATAGAGAAAGAGACTTGCTGCTGAGTGCTTTCTTCAAAACAAATCGATTAGAGTGAAAAAAAAAATCCAAAACATTTTCATAGCAAAGTTTAAAAAAGTTACAAGTATAACCACGGAATCGAACAGGCAGTGAAGCTGCATATGATAAATTGTTTTCAGAGGTTATCAGGCAAGAAAAAGGAAAAAAATAGAAGCTGGTGCAGATGGGACTAAAGTGGCATTTATAGCAACCTGGGCTTCTTTAACACCTCAGAAGAGCCACAGGATAAGCATCCCTATAACACTTAATTTGGTGCGGTAATTCGTGGAGAATGAGCCCCTGCAGAGTGGTCACTGCTAGACCAATTACTTTCAGGTTGGCCAACATTCTTGTTCTAATCATTATTACCAATGGTTGTATGTAATAATCACATTTTTTCATTAGTTTTATTTTGTGGTTGTCTGCATGGAAGCATATGTATATATATATTTATATATATATTTATTTCTTTTTAACAATTCTTACTCTATCTCACTTTTAAACTCAGTTTTTAGTGGTATTCCTTTAAACCGAGATGTACCTGTAGCATATACTGTAATCAGGAGAGGCATATCTTACAAATGAAAACCATGACAGTTTAAGGATGTCTAGAAGAAACGTGAAAATAAGTGAAAATAATTAAATTGCTAAGTCGTTGCTATTATCTCAGAAAAGGGGTAATTATTTTCTTCTCTAAAACAGTGGCAGTAAAATTACAGGGTAAACCATACTGTCTACAAAATGATTACATTTCAGGCTATTTTGCTTTATGATAAAAGGGACAGCTAAAGTGAGCAAACGCAGACTGTATTTTGTTGATTAAAAGGGGAACAAAAGGCTGTTTACGCACTTCTCAGTGTGGTCCGTTTGAGCTTGTGTCATTTTTATCCTTGCCTGCTTCCTTTTATGATTTGATATATAAAGGCAAATGCACAAAATCCATCTTTTTTTTTTACTTCAGAGAGCTGTCAGAAGAAAATTATTTTTATAATAAATTATATCAAAGAATATCAGTTCCATGACTTGTTCTCTGTTTCGCTTCCGTTTGACATCTTTTCCTTTATGATACACCCACTTACTGATATCAGAAGATATTGCAGCATATCTTCTATAAGTTCTTTTTAGTATTTTTTTAATGAGCTACAGCTTGCAAGGTACAACCATCTCTAGTTCATTTATGGTCAGAATGTGTTCCTTTTTGCTTCACAAGACACAGTCATTTAATCCAAGTTGTTTTTCATTTTCTTTCTTCTTGCACTGGGGGTGATGGTGCCGGTGGTTCCTTTTCGGTTCTTAGATCACATATTGGTTGCCACACACACAAAGCTAAAATTGCCATGAATTAAAGGGCTTTGACAATAACATTCAGCTTTATCTTTACTTAAATTAACATACAATCCAATGAATAAAAACCCTCTTAAGGAAAAACAAATATGTAACTATTACTTTTATGGCCTGTTTTATTTATTATATATTAGGTTTTTCCTTCTGAAACCTTAGCAGATATATTTTTTCTGAAAGTATTATCTTCTACTCCAGTCTTAAAACCTGTCCAGTCTCTATGCGGTTGGCTTCTGGGATTGTATTTTATTCTATTTATTACAATGAATAAATAGATACTGAAGGGCTGTTGGTTCATGCCTCCTGATGTTGGTCAGAGGGCCCGATGCCAGTGTCTGGAAGCCTCACTTCTGTCAGTGAGCCCCAGGGCAGCTGTGGCTACAATGTAGCTTGCCACCATCAGTGTATGAGTGAATGGGTGAATGATTGAATGTAGTGTAAAGTACTTTGGTCAAGCCAGTCATCTACCGAGCACCATGGGAAAGGTGTGTCATGGAGGTTTTGCATCACACATAGCAATTTATATGTGTTTAAATTGTAATCTATGTTTCTCTAAATTCATATATTATTTTAACTAACATCAGAAGGAACTGAATTTTCCTATCGTAATACTTACTTTCTCTACAATGTGCTGGAGATTTCTTGGTGTTGACACAGGTTCTTAGCCTCTTCTCTGATTAATTCCCATCTTTCCTGGGCGATCAGTTAAAGTAGTTTCAGACTGTATTATATTGTCATTATTTACATATATTTTTTTCTTTTGAAAAGAGAAATTAGCTTTATCTCTGACACATATGTTGTGCTCCAGCGTTCCTAATAATTCCGTTTATCAATTAATGTCCTCAAACATGTTTTTCAAAATCTTCAATGAACATTTTAAAACTACGTACACAAAAATGTAAGATTTATGAAAAAATTTGTTGGCTTCTAAATGCAACTAAACGCACCAGAGTTTTAGATTAGGGGCATCAGAGTAAAGGGGAATAAATAATAATGCATATCCATCTTTTTATAATTATTTCTTTAGAAACTCTACAAACAGAGGTTTTTGCATAGGTCTATCATATAAAACTGAAATAAGTGAAGTCTAGGGTTATAACATGACATCATATAAAAAAAATGCATTTTTGCATGGGAAATTAACACAATAGATGATATTCCTTAAAAATCCCTCAAAATGAAAATTTTATGTTTTAAGAGAATATTTCTCTAAGACACAAATGTACAGTAGCCCCCTTGATCCCATATATATACTGTGCTGTCTCTAGATGAACTCTTTAGCCTCCTGTGTGGGTAAAAGCAGAGCATATCCAGGGTTGAATATAAGGTCAGTGTGCAATCTGAACTTTAATGATAATTAGACCAGTGATGTCCTTATTGATGCAATTCTACATTTGTCTGCAGTGGGGAGGATCTGAAAGCAAGTAAAAAAGGGTAGATGAGTGGAAATAAAAGTAGTGTTTAACTATAAAATGTCTAAGGTTCTACTGAGGAATATTTTGTCCCTAAATCTGCGGTACCTCTCTGTGTCAAATAAAGATGGACCTTGTACTTTGAGTTAACAATTTTTTCCACAAAGCCTCTTTCTGTTTTTTGTTTTGTTTTTCTTTTGTTTTGTAATCAAAGGATGTAAAACAGAGTGGTAACCAGGCAAACAGCTAAATGAAAAGGGTTTTGCTTGCATTTTAATACCAGCAGAGTTATAGCTTGTGTCATTGTAAATGGTCCAATCACTGAATGATGCCGAAGTAAAACGAGTAAACTAAAGGGTGAATAGAATGGCAAAGAATGGCAACCAAGTGAAACTTTCAGAACTGAAGCACATGCATAGTCATGTTCCAGCTTGGTGATTATTTGTCTCATAGTAACAGGCTATTTCCCATGTGATACCTCACTACCACACCCCCAACCCCCTTCCTCCTCCCTCCCTGCTTTGTACCTTCAGGGAAGCTGGCGCAGAAAACTGGGGCACAGAAGGCTGCCAAACGCTTGCATCAAACACTGTCCACACCAAATGCCTCTGCAGCAAGATATCCACCTACGCCGTGTTAGCGCAGCAAGCTAAAGATCCGGTAAGTCACCGCTGCATAGTCTGATGCACTCTTCCTAATTTTGAATGGCGGTAACAAGGCCACTAGGGTTCAGGTCAGCCAGCCAACAAGTTTCAGTGTGATGGATTTAGAATTTGCAGATTTTCCAACAAGAAACGGGTTTTTTGCAGATTTTCCAACAAGAAACGGGTTTTTATAGTTTTTTCGGGGACATTTGAGAGAGAGTATCTAGAATGTGTTGTGAAAGTATGTTTTTTTTTTTTGTAAGAAAGCTGTTGCAGTTTTAACATCACTGTCCTTTTTGAAATTCATACTCTTGCATGTGGCGCTATTATGATTTTGCCTTTAAATGATGCAACATTTTATGCAACCTATTTTTGGGTGCAAAATAATTGGGTGCAAAGTCAAGATCAGGCTCTTTAGTGAATTATCCCCATGGGACAAGGGAGGAGAGACCTTAAACTAAAAGGACTTAAGGCATTTGAATTTACATGGATGTAAATTTTGAGTGCTGCATACAACTTGCACATCTATTAATACTTTTCAGTGACTAGAGGATAGTGCATGCTTCTTTTTTTGTGCACAAATGGACTTTTACATCCTTAAAAGCTCCATGATTGCCTTAACCACGTCACATAGCATGTCATCAATTTACTAATACCGTCTGCTGCCATATTCTATTATAAAGCTCATGTTCTTATGTAGATATGCTTGGGAAACAGATTTTTATGGTATGTTAGCCCTGTATAGAAATATTATGTTATGTAGACAGAACTCATGTTTTTAACTCACGTCTATTACTTACTCCTATTGCTTTTATCTAAATCTACTACTTATTATTCCGGGAGCTGCTGAACTGACATGTCCTGTATAGTTTGCCTGAACTACTTTTTAAACAGCATGCCTTGATAATTGTGGTAGATAGGACTTTTTTATTGACCAGAGCATGACTATTGTCGGTTTTGTTTCTGCTATTAAATATACATTTAGAGGGGCGGGAGTTGTTGCAAGGGTTAAAGGCACATCACATATGCAGAGGTTTAGTCCTAAATGCAGCCGTCACAGGTTCAAGTCCCGGCCTGGTGATCCCTGTTGCATGTCTTCTCCTTCTGCTTCCTGTGTGCATAGTTTTGAAAAATACAAAATAATATAAAGGTCACTAGATTCTAAAAAATAATAAAAAACAAAACATACTTTTCAAAGACAACAAACTTTTTCTTTGTTAATGATTTTTGAAAAATACTACCCTCTGAATTGCAACCCAGTTTGCTATCCAGCAGCTGGTTTATCTCAGAATTACTGGCAGGTTTTTTTTTAAATGCCACCAAATGTAAAAATATATATATAAAAAAACATTTTTACTGTCATATTCCTGTAATTTTGAGCATTTTTGTTTACATTACTTGCTTCTTTGCTAACATTTAGAAGAAAAACATTTAATTATAAATGTAAATCTATAGCTTAATATTATATCTAACCGTATATGTTAAGTCTATTTCTGCAGCTGTGTATGAATGTTATAATCATATTTAAATCAAATATATAACCAAATCTACAGTATATTTTATATCTAAATAGATAACCTAATTCTCAATGTTAAAACGAACTCTTGAATGTAATTATATATTTAGATAAAGAATTTAGATTTTTAATTTGATTTAATATAAAGATTTAAGATATATAATAAAATTATATCTAATACCTAGATTTAGGAGAAACGAGAGGTATTTACATTTAAGACGTAGATTTAAGACTTAATTAAAATTAGAATTAAATAAAGGATGTTGGAATAATTTAAGATTTGTATTTAACATTTGCAGCTAAATGTTAGAAAAAATAAATAAATAAAAAAAATAAAATAAATAAATGTTAGAAAAAAAAAACCTAAATGTAAAGAATCTGTTAAAAATAACAGATATTATCAATTAAAATTGCTTCACTATTTTTTTTTTCACATTTGGCAACATCTAAATTACCATAAAGTAGGATATTGTTATTTTTCAAATAACAAGAAAGAAATGATTTATGTGAAATCAAAAATTCAACACAGGCTTACTCTTAAGCAAAGTACCACATAGATGAAATTGTAATTCTTGCCTAATCTCTTATGTAGAATATTATAACAATATATTTATTGTTCAAGAAAAATGTGCTGAATAAAAACAGAAAATCAAGAATCTTGGTACAAATTTAAAACATTTGAGTTCAATTTTTACAGCAAATTCCTTGTGCACATTACCAAAGGCTAAACTTTCTTCACTTCTCTGGCTAAACCTGTTATAGTGAATTTACTCTGGTTAGTTCCTGTTGCAGATAAAAAATCAGCATTACTTTGTACAATAAGTAATCAAGCACAGTTGTTTCCATGAACACATGTTGTCCACCTCACCCTGAATAAGCAGCTACCTAGTTAAGATATTACATTGAGCAAATGTGGATTTCATTTCAGAGTTTAATGAACATACAGTAAGTAATTATAAGTTTATAAAATATTTAGGTCAACAATCAAGCAACTCCTTAATGGATTTAAATGTAAAGATCAACTATTTAACAAACAAAATAATTTGCAACATGTCACTTTAAGAAAACAGATGGCTGTTGCAAACAACTAAGTTTTTAATTGAAATCATCATCATTTACCAGTCACAATAAAATTAATGTTTAGTATCTATTATTCCCCTTTCACATTTATAGCTTTCAAAATGTAAAAGGCATTTATAACACTGGCACTCTATAGCATCTCATTATAGGTGCTTTAAAAGTAGAAATTATAAAGTATAAGATTTTAATCAGCTTTTAATATTAATTCTTAAAGCCATTGTATACCTTAATACCAGTCACCAGTACATCTCTTACTTTCTAAAAATGGTTCTTTAACTTTGACTTTTCCTCTCTAATTCCTGCAGTGACTGTGTGGGGGGGGAAAAAAGATCAGTGCAAGTAGATAAGATTTGGCATATCAGGGACTTTTCTTAGTGTTTGCAGATTTCTATTTCTTTAATGCCAGGCTTAAAATGAATTTTAAAAAAGGAGCCAGCAAGGCAGATGCTTTGTTAGCACCTGAGGGTTATTCTTTGTGACTCTGAAATAGGAAGTGAATGTGTCAAAGAGGGAATTTAGGGTGGAAGAACTCTTCATCATACTTAGACGTATTGTAGGCAACAGACAGCCAATAGACACAAATAAAGAAAAAATGGTTGCTTGATCTTGCAATGGTTATGCATTACCAGCCATTATTTTCAAGACTAGGATTATGTGTGCATAAGTTTGCTTTAAGGCAAGTCACTAAAACCTTATCTGTCTTCTGCCTGAGTCGCCGTTTGAAAGCTATATCCCTTATAGCATTGTTCTGGCACTGCACAACTGGTTATTATAACAACGCTGCATTTATTAACTCAATATTCACTCGTCAATCACCATTTTTTTAATAAAGTTTATGGCTAATGTCTACTGGCTTTAAATACAGAAGCTGACAGAAGCTATTCGGTTGCATAACTATGATTCTCAATCGGAACCTTTTTTCTCTACAATTTTTGCATTCAGAAAAAATGGTCAATCAAATTGTTCTTTTATGGAAACCTGTGCATCCATTGATTTTTGTCTCCCTAATTGATCGGCAACTGATCAAAGCTGTAGCCTACAGCTGTAGCATGCTTGTTGTCCCAATTACAGGGTCTGTAATTAATTAATCACAATTAAACACTGGCTTATATTAATTTAATCAAAAAGAACATATGGACAAAATAAACAATGTCTTTTAGTTAAAAAACATGTTATTCCTAATTTGTTCAATAAATAAACATATAATGGCTGCAACATGCATGTTTATTGTTTGAAATCAATAATTCAGGTTATTCTACCATCAGGTTGGTTGAAAGTTGTAATCATTAAGCTTTTTTTATTAGAAATACTGATATTTTATGCAACTTTTAAAGACGACATATATAGAGTGTGAACTGTACATGAGCATTCATTATAACACAATTCTTTCCAGTGAAACAAGGAGAAGCAGCATTTAGTTCCTATGCTCCACTTATCTGGAACAAACTTCCAGAAAACTGTAAAGTGCGGAAAGCCTGAGTTCCTTTAAATAAAGACTAAAATCACATTTGTTTAGGATTACCTTTGACTCTTCTAGTTAAACAGTTCAACTGAAACATCATTATTTCATCTCTCTTATTTTATTTAGTCCAACTGTTTTTAATGTTCTTTTTTGTTTCTGCATTTATTTTATTTTGTTTTATTTATTTATTTTTTCCGACTTGCTTTGATTCTGTTTTATTTTCCTATATTTTAATCATGTAAAGCACTTTGCATTGTCTTTGTACTAAAATGTGCTATACAAAAAAAATTGCCTTGCCTTTCCTTGCCTTGTCTTGAATGTTGAAAAAAAATATTTATCAACAAGACATAAAATACTGCCTTGAAATAATAAACTTTTGCAAATACAGAAGTTAAATTTAAAACTGATGACAAAACTATTATAGTTCAGCCATGAATAAAGCATTGCCTTTCAGAGCTTAACATTTGTTATTCAACATGCGACATTCAGTCGATTTAAAACATATATACTACTGATGCTTCTTTTACTCCTTAAGCCATTACTAAAATAATAATCTATGTTGCAACCCACTTTACCAGGAATGATTTACTTTTTCAGATATGGTCTTACTATGTTGGCTCTAAAGCTTGTTGCTGAAATTAAAAGTTAAAAGACACTAAAGATTTGCTGGTCAGGTCGGCTGTTAGGGCTTGGTCTCTGCAGCTTAGGCTAACCCTCCGTCTGATCTATAAAATTTCGTTGTACTTACCCTGTAAGTATTATTACAAATAAAGCATATTTTATCATATAGAAAAAAAAGCAGTGCTAGCTGCAACATACATCTTGGTTCATTATTTCCTGCCTGACAGTGGCAGTAAACAAAGTGTATATAACTCCTTACATAAGTAAAGACATGTACACAGTTTTGTAGATAACACCGTGGGAGCTATGTTCAGTCTCCTTGCTTCCTCACTCTGAG